TTTTTTTTTTGAATTTTCGCCTACTATTGGGTAAATAGTGTAATTCCGTGTAGGGTACTGACAACAGCATCCTTCCAAGTTTGTTTTTAGTACATTGACTGATATAGTACTGATTGCTGACTGCTTTTTGGAAAGATGTTCAAAAGATCATGATTTTGAATCTAGTTGGGATCCCAGGGCTACCTCAAAAAAGGATTGATTTGGGTCTCGACGACGCCCCAGCCGACCCTTTCTGCATCTGTTACAGATCGCCCTGTAGCCCTGACTAAACAGCGTCTGCCATCAAACAGCCAGACAGCCTATGTATAGCGTAGGTAGTACGGAACCAAACGAACTGAGTGCATGTTTCCCACGAATTCGTTTCCCAAGCTCTCCACAAACTCTGCCTAGACCTTGTGACAACCTTTTCGATACTGTCTAGAAGCCACGTGGCCACACCTGTCTCGAAGCACACCTAACAACCAACGGATGCAAGACTGATAGCTTCCGCGGCAAAATAATCCGAATGTGATAAAAAAAAATCTGGAAAAAATACCTTCTACAGGAGGAGTTGTGCAACTGCGTAGACTACTGACTACAGTAGTCTCGTAATCTTCATTGCAAGCATTCAAGAAGCATTCGCAGCTGGCGCACAAAAAGTAGATCCCCTTTCTGACTGTCGATTCTCATCATTAAGGGGATATGGCTACGGAGTCGAGCTCACGACTGAATTTGCCGCTACTTCTGGGTTATTTGTGTAATTGCGTAGGCTACTGACTACCGTAACTCTCAGCTTTGTTTCTTGAACGTTCTGGATTACTGGCTACTTCAATGCTACCGAACGCCCATGTTCACCAGCAGTGTCAGTTGCTAAAGACCACTCAGCATCCCTATTAGAAGACGCCCGGTTTTTGAGTCCTAATCACACCCTTCCCAGACCATTTTCCCCCTTTAGACTCCTGTGTTGGCTCCTTGGGAGCTGAAGTTCCATGTTTTCTGAGTTTGTGTGTTGTCTGGCATCGAATTTAGTCAACATTTGTAATTTTCTGAAGATTTTTTCCTTGAAAGAGAATGATTAACACTGATTCATTACATAGCCACAGAATCAACGGCGCACGTAATATGTCACACTGGTAGGGATCATGATAGGGTTGAGATCTGGGAGAAACTGGGGTGGCGACCTGTCGTAATGTGATCGCATAGTAATCTCGAAAACAATGAAATGGACACACAAGTAGGGATCACGCTACACAACAGATGTGAGATCATACTAGACAGTGTTGTGTCAGACGTTCAGAAGGAATCGATGAATCGATACAGAAGTAGAGTAGAGATGATGATGAATCGATGAGATCATAGCCGATGGATGACGAAAGATAGCAATTGGACGAGAATTCAGACGAACAAGGCTTTTCCGTACGAGATTTCCGGGATTGATGAATGGCGGCGATTTTCATTGCGGTAATGCTTTTAGCAATGAATTCACTTCTTGGGCAACACATCCATAAATCAACTTGAACTGATCCGCGGTACGAACGAGACCTGAAAACAAAGGTGAGTTCAAACATTTTCATTGGACTCGCTGCCTGCCTAGATAACTCTCTGACACGAGAGCTGACTCGCATTAAGCTGGCAAGCTGCAAAAGATAGAACTTAACCCACTTTCCTCCCCTTTCCTTTCCCAACCGCCCTACACAGGCTCTTCCAAACCAGCCTTCCCGTGTACCTTCTTCCAGGCCCGGCTTTACAATATGTAACAATGACTAAGTGCTTCGTAGGTGCGTGGCAAGTGTCATACGCCAGGCATAGGGTAGTCAGGGAGAAAGATGCGACAGAAGGTACCAAAGGTGATCGAGCCTTGATCGAGCCCGTTGACGTGCATGAGGAGGAAATCATGACAAGTTGGGCAACAGAGGAATTCCAGAATAAAAAGCTGTATAATTGGCAAAATGATTGTTTTTTTCTCTTGAGGTGGTTTTCGAAATCGAGAATCTCATGCATCATTATTAACGGGTCCTTAGCCCAAGATAACTGAAGGAATGAGGCGCTCATTTTTTTGACTTTTTCCCAGCTAAAATATTTTCGCAGCTTTTGCTTGTTCGAATGTCGCATTAGTTCAACGTTACCAGTAGTTTGAGAATAAAGGATAAATGGAAAAGTCTCTGGGCATTGATTAGTTCAGTCTGAGGGATGCGCCCACGTATCCGACTTCCACTCAAAACAGTGGTGGCCTTTGGATGCGTCATATAACGAGTTGCGGTATTTCGCCGATGCATGTACAACCGAGTACTTCAATCTTCTCAGATAAAAGTCTGGTACCAATTCATTGGGCCGAGGGATTAAAACATTGGTGAGCCTGAGCGACTGTCGAGTTTCACTCCGGGATTCGATCCCCAGACCGAACTCCTGGTATGCATGTACGGCAAATGGAGGTCCCAATCTTTCCTGTTGTATTTTTAGTTCTGAAATGGCTCCCCAATGCGAAGTGATCTCAGCTTTAATAAGAAACCCCTTGAAACTACTCCGTACTATTCCGGCGACCATGCCAGCCGATTAACGTGTCTATGAGTGAATTACTTCTAGGTTGGCTACTACAAGGTGCAAATATGCTTGAGCAAATTTTTTCCATTCATTTCATTGTATTCCAAGGCTTTGCACTTTGGAAGAGTGCAACCATCAGGTTTACATTGAAACTTTAATCCTTACATCTTACATCTTTACATCTTTAAAAACTCACCATCTCTTTGATCACGAAGGTGTTCAACGGAAGCGACGACATCCAGTTGGCGGACACCTTTGAGTAGGCGTCCGCATAAGAGATCGACAGCACAGAAGACCCCGGTTCGACCAGCTCCATCCCATGAGTGTACTAGTACCGGTGATGCACGACCACGATATGATTTGTTCACCTTACTGCAATGTATTCTGCTCAATTTGTTGGCGCACTCAGTGGAGTGTATGAATAAAGAATTAAGTAAATAAACAAACAAACAAAGGAATATATAAATAAATCACCATTCAGGGTTGTTATATGGGCTACAGTTAAATCGTAAAATAGCCTAGTAATGATCGGCCTATATTCCCACTCCCGATTCTGACCCTTTTTGATCACGGTTCCTCCCTTATTGTCATAAAAGAAACTTTCAACTTTTTGCCCTCCCCAGTATCTTCCCGATGTTTTCTGGTACCCTTACCCCTTATATCTCCCTGAAACATTTAACAACTCCCTCTCTACTATTCTCAGCACCAAGGATCTTTCAAAGCTCTCGCCCATTCTTTCTTTTCTCAACTCACTAAATACCTTTTTATGAATTCCCAAAATTAGATTATTTCTTCCAGCTTTGTCTTCACGTTCCCTCCCTCCTTCATCCTATTAACTCGGCTTTCTTCACTCCGTTCCGGTTCTACTCCATCTTGAACTTTTTTACAACATCCCATTTCCCCGCTTTTCTCGTTTTCACTTCTTTGGCTCTCGCTCTCGCTAAGCACGTAGAATTTCAGTTTCTTACCGTCTGAATTCGATGAGGCTCTTCGGACTGGATGGCGTCTCGTCGCGTTTCCAAGACAAGTAATGGAACTGAGTGATGGTACGTGTCTGGCCGTTACGGAGATTCTTCAGGTAGAACGAACGCACGAGATAGTCATCGCTCCAAATGTGTTCCGAGACAAGGTGAATCTGCAAAAAGGACCATTCGAGGGTTCAAAGACGATAGGATGGAAAGCTCCTAACCTCGAATGGACCATGTACTTCGGAACCAGACTCGGGCCAATAGCTCTTCTCCTGTTTGCTTTCTTCCAGGGTGGACAGATTTACGATCAGGCAAACTCCATGCTGCCAAATTGCCTGCCAGAAGGACGCCACATCTTCGCCGCGTGGTGTTTGAGCAGCGATGTAAACAGGTTGTCTGGAATAAAGGCCTGGTTGGAGGGGGTTTATGGAGAAATTGGTGATTGCTCGAGAGGTTGCTTCAGCAAACCTTGGATCATCGTCGTAGATGAAGCTTGCATTGAGGTATTCCGTTTTTCCCTCTTCCCACGAATCAACCGGAACAAGGCTTTCATCAACTGAAAATTGTTGATAAATTGAAATAATTCTGAATAGTATGAATATCTTCACGTGACTTTGAATGCTGAAGATGACCAAGTGATCTAGAGAAAATAAAAAAAAAATTAATTTCAATTATTGTTATTAATATTTATTATTGTATTTTAATTATGATTACTATTATATTAAGTATTATTATAGTCATAATTTTTTTCATAGCATAAGGGTTTTTCAACTGAGAAACTCGCGGAATGAAACATAAATGGCCAAATAGAAAGATGTTTGATCGGACTATACACTTAAGCACTTGACGGGCTAGCAGGTCTACAAATTAGTGATTTTACTCTCTCAGACGACTCCGTGCTGAGTAACTCAACCTAGTGAGACTCAGGAATTCGTGGCCTGAGCGGCCAAGAAAGGAAGTGGGACTTGATCCTTCCCCAGAAGTATGGTGGCAGCGCCCGCTGGCGCGACCCCAATCGACATATCGAAAAAGTAAGCATTGTTTTGGAGCTCAATATGACTTCCCTCTATTAAATTTGGAGCTTCTGGCTGAACACCCTTCAAGGGTTTCATTCGGTCCCCCTCCTGATGTTTCTATTTTTGATGTTGCCCTTTCGTTTTCCTCCTCGAATCGACCTTTTGATGAGGGCCTTTTCCTGATATGTACGTGTACATCATTCTTATCGAAAACATGACAAAAAATGACCTTCTCAATCTACCCTTCCTAGGGGAAAATTCCAGAAAAAGGATGGAAATTTCGATGTTTTCCATCATTTTCAGCCACCTAATAGATGAAAGTTGAGAGGCCCGCAATGCCAGGTCTTAACGGTTGCCTTAAAACGACGTGAATTTGATCAACACACCCAATGCTTCTAATTAATTCAACTTTAAATTTTAATTAATAGGAAACGGTAGCTGTGATAAACAACGGAAACAATGTGGTAAACAATGAGGAAACCTTCGCAGGGGGTTTGAGCCCATTCAGGAAAATTGCCTTCTCAAACTTGACCGAGTTTGATATTCGAGCAAAAGCTGCTAGGCCTGATCCTAAAGCCACAGCTCACGATAATTCGAGTAGTCCTAGTCGAGTATGGAAGGTAGAGTCCAGAATAGTGCGAGAGTGACGGAGAAATCGGAAAATTTAGAGAAGCATAAGGCTTTAGTTATAAAAATGTAGGGGTTGGACGAGAATGTGACGACAAAAGTTGCATGGAAGGGGTATTTGGACGAGCTTCTCAAAATTTTGCGCCATTGCATACATCTGTATGCAGCAGGC